TAGGGAACATCCAAACGTTTTTGCGCAATATTTTGTTAATGGAACCCCAGAATTAATTAATATTTCATTATTTGATTACGAAAATTCTAAAATCAATAGAATAAGTTGAATATATGTATATTGGCGCGTGTACTTAGTGATAAATAAAAATAGCAACAGTAAAATACAAAGTACTATAGCTGACTCTATTATAGTCCATGGTACTATAATTTTATTAAATTTTTAACATCCGCCTGAAACTTCGTAAATAGCTTCATCTCATCGCGAGCTACAAATATTTTATTCACGAAAACTAGAAATTGGGAAGTTTTCAGTTTGGAGATCGGCCAACTTTTTCTATTTAATTAGGTACTAAAAACTCGTTAAATACCCGTTCTCTTTCCACTTAGATCGTAAGATAAATTGATCACAAAATCGAAAAAAAAAATGTGTCCTACAAAAATATTGGACCGCTCGGCCTATAAAACCTCGTTATTTTGAAATGTTGGGGGTGTAGATCACGCCAAAAGGTCTAATATTTTTGTAGGCCACCTTATTTCTCGATTTTTTTAAATCAAATTATTTTATGATCTAAGTGGAAAGCAAATGGGTATTTAAGAGTGTTTAGTACATAATTAAATAGACAATTTTTGCCGGTCTCCAGATTGAAAAATCCTATACTAAATACAATAATAGATCGTGACGTTCATGAGATTATTTTTATTTACAATTAGATACAGGTCACAAAAATTATTATTTCGCATCATGTTTATAGTCATTTTAAGCTGGAAAAAAATAAAAAAAACAAAATTAGATCAGTTTGTGCTGTTGAGAGCTATGAATTTTCAAAATGATTTTTTTTTAATTGTCTACGTATGATTGTATATGAAGTTATCGCATTATGTTATTAATTATTAATTTTTTTACGCTTAATAAAATTTAACGTTAAAGTCCGATTGGAGAATGCTAGTGTTGCCAAATGTGAGACCGAGACGAGTCTGGGTCTTGCAAATCAGTTTTGTTTACAGTCTTGGTCTTTCACAAGAGTTTCGCAACAGTCTTGCAGTTACTTATCAGCTTATTGCTATAGACATATTACTGTAATTTTTTAGATAGAAGAAACCTAACTAAGCCCGAATGAAAAATTAGAGAAGTTAAATGCAAAATTATATTGCTTATTCCAATTATTAACATATAATAATTACAATTATCCAGTATTAGTAACTTTTTTGCCTTAATTTTTATTTAAAAAATCGATTTTTTTTGCCAGCCCTGGTCTTGGTCTTGCTAATTAATAATTAGTTATTTTATAGATATTCATTAATTATTATTATTAATTTGTTTTTGTCAATAAAATATATATTTGAGCCTGTCAACTTATTGTTGACAATCAGCATATGTTATGGCGGTACGGGAAATAATGACATGACAGGCATGGGAAAATTATTAATTATGAATAATTGGTAAATGGTTGACTGTCGTGGATAATAAATAGAAGAATAGTTGGGGTGTTCAGTCATAAAAGAAGGCAAAAATAAATGATAATATTTATTTTTACATATGCCGACGTTTCGACCTGAAGTTCAGGGCTAAGAAAATAACCAGATAACAAGGTATGAGAAACATAAGTAGTGATAGTAAAAAAAAAAAAAAAATAATAAAAAATAATAAAAAAAAAACACCCCAACTATTCTTCTCTTCATTATTAATTATGAAATAAGCTGTAAATGAAATTAGTTATATTATTTCGTTGATTATTATGCTGAGCAGTTGAACTAGATGTTATGCAAAGGCCTAATAATTTGTTGCATGAGATTACGTTTGATGGGATGATTTGCAAGGCTAATGTTATGAAGCGATCGCGGTGTTTGGAACCTCCCCGTAATATCGATTAGTTCTCGGAAGGCCCCCAAATCGGTTCCATGTTTAACCAGTGACCGACTTAACAGGCTTAACGGTTACTTTTAATTGATCTGGTTCCTTTAAAGAATATTTACCCCCGAGCCTGTAACTTAAAATTATTAACATGACCATATTAAATAGGAAAAAAAAAATACACAGAATGTTGTTTGGTAGAGAAACGTTTAAACACAGAATTATAATTTTCAATCGCCATAAAAATTCATGTTATGACTAGTTTTTTATTGAGATTCGAGAATAAATACATGAAGACTAGATAGTTTTTTATTCATCTGTGTACCGGTGTAATCTTTCATTGACTGATATCTCCCTCATAGTAAATACCGTTAATCTTATCTCCTTGATTAGTTCAACCTGTTTCTTTCTAAATATTTTGTTGTTCCGAATTTAATCAATCAGTCGGATTGATATATCTAATGAATTTGCCGAGGAATAATACGAAATAACTTTTCAAAAAATAATAATAATGAAGTCTATAAGTAAAAATATATTTCAAATTAATATAAAGAAGAAATAAAAATGTGTAAAAATAATCAGTGTATATGAGCCATTTAGTTGACAGAATGACTAACTCTAATTTAAACATTTTTTGAGTAAATAGTGATATTTCTAGTTATAAAATTTATAATATCTGTACAGGCAACGACTAAAGTGATTTTAGAAATATTACATTAAAAAATGAACAACGGTTTTGAACAAACGAACATTTACGTTTTTATTAATATAGATTCAGGCATGATTTTAAAATTAAAAATCAAATATAATAATTATTACACGGTTTTATGTAAAATAAATAACTATCGATTTCAAACTTTGATTATCATTCAGTTGGATTGATATATCTAATAAATTTGCCGAGGAATGATACGAAATAACTTTTCAAAAAATAATAATAATGAAGCCTATAAATGAAATTATGCTTAAAAAATGATATAGAGAAGAAATTAAAATGTGTAAAAATAATCTTCAGTGTATATGAGCCTTTCAGTTGACAGAATGACTAGCTCCAATTTCAACATTTTTTCAGTAAATAGTGATATTTCTAGTTGTAAAATTTATAATTTCTGTAAAGGCAGTGATTAAAGTGATTCCAGAAATACTACATTAAAAAATGAACAACGGTTTTGAACAAACGAACATTTACATTTTTATTAATATAGATTCAGGCATGATTTTAAAATTAAAAATCAAATATAATAATTATTACATGGTTTTATGTAAAATAAATAACTATCGATTTCAAACCTTCATTATCAATCATTCGGATTGATATATCTAACGAATTTGCCGAGGAATGATACAAAATAACTTTTCAAAAAATAATAATAATGAAGCCTATAAATGAAATTATGCTTAAAAAATGATATAGAGAAGAAATTAAAATGTGTAAAAATAATCTTCAGTGTATATGAGCCTTTCAGTTGACAGAATGGCTAGCTCCAATTTCAACATTTTTTCAGTAAATAGTGATATTTATAGTTGTAAAATTTATCATTTTTTGAGTAAATAGTGATATTTATAGTTGTAAAATTTATAATATCTGTACAGGCAACGATTAAAGTTATTTCAGAAATATTACATTAAAAAATGAACAACGGTTTTGAACAAACGAACATTTACGTTTTTATTAATATAGATTCAGGCATGATTTTGAAATTAAAAATCAAATATAATAATTATTACATGATTTTATGTAAAATAAATAACTATCGATTTCAAAACTTGATTATCAATCAGTCGGATTGATATATCTAATAAATTTGCCGAAGAATGATACATAATAACTTTAAAAAAAATAATAATAATGAAGTCTATCAATGAAAATATACTTCAAATTAATATAAAAAAGAAATAAAAATCTGTAAAAATAATCTTCTCTTTATAGAGCCTTTCAATTGACAGAATGACTAACTCCAATTTAATCATTTTTTGAGTAAATAGTGATATTTCTAGTTGTAAAATTTATAATATCTGTACAGGTAGTGATTAAAGTGATTTTAGAAATGTTAAAAACATTTAAAAATGTGTACATTAATAATGTGCACATACATATTAATATTTAATTTAATTTGTGTGTGTATTTATTGATCAACATTTTTTTATCATTATTATTTATGTAAAATCGTATCATTCAGTGAGTGATCATTATTTTTAATCGAATCAATAAACATACAGTTGCATTCATATTTATAAATCAGACAGATTTTTTAATTAAAAATCAAATATAACAATTATTACATGTTTTTATGGAAAACATAATTGTCGATATCAAACTCTGGGTTATGCAGCGCAAAAATATTCCTCTCTTTTTTATTATTTTGAAATTTGAAAGAAGAACAGTTGACTTTAGTTGTGAACAGGACACGGAACGCATTAACTTTAATAAGCATTTCTCCACGCAAAAATAAACTTCGTAACAGAGAGTATTACTCTAGTACTACACGTCACTCCTTATTAAATTTTAAATACTAAATTTTTATTTATAATTCAACCATGATTTTTAAGTTACAAATCAAATTTAATAATTATTATTTGATTTTGTGGAAAAATAATTATCTATTTATAACCCTGATTATTTTCATAAAATTGTACTATCGATATAAATTGACTACTATCCTACCTAATCACTGGTCCTAAAAAGTATTTTTTAACTAAGGATTTTTTTGTTCTCGCTGATTATTTTAAGCGAGAGATATTTCCCATTTTTTTTTTTTTTTCGCTTGGTTCCGTTGTTACATATATGTTTCTCATTGTTCTTGGATCCAACAATGCCTTCTGGCAGTAGAAGGAAAAAGTAAAAATGGGTATCTATGGATATGTATGTATTGTAATAGTATAATAAAATCACCGGAGGGTGAAAAAAAAAAAATCTTGAATTCAACAGATTTAAAAATAAAATCAATCAATAAAAAAAAAAGGGAAAATTTTGTGGTTTGATGAAAATGTGTCGGGTAATGCCATATTCATATACCTCTAGACATGTCTTCTACTGCACTTCATATTATTTTCTTGTTATTTAATTCAAAATTTGGGTTATTGCTTTTGCTTCAGAATTAGATCGTAAGTGCTATTGATTAATTTTCTCATTTTTTTTTTTCTAGAACTCGAACTCGGTACACAATGCGTTGTCGAGATGGAAGGTGGACAAACGATTCTTCACCAGCCAGCTGGCCTCGACAAACTTGACAGGTAAATGTAATGTTTATATGTACATACTTTAATAGATATTTAATTAAGAATACCCACATTATAGAGGCTGGGTGTGCCCAGGAATAGCTCCCGACATTAGGTTGATCCACGGTAACTGTAAGAGAAAAATTACCTGTTATAACCGGACCCAAACCCGGGGTCTATAGTATATGAGCACAGTGCCTTACTGAGCTGTCTCGCTCCTCCATACAATATGTCTCATTTCTTGATGGCCAAGCTCTGGAAGGTGATGCTAGACAAAAATTTCCAACAAAAAAGTTCATCGATGCTTGGGCCGATTAGAAACTGAAAAGGAGTTTGGACCAATATTGTGTTGTTTTTTAAGATAATGGTGGTTTTTATTGAATAAGAAGAAATCGCTCCAAAACTTTTTAAAAAACAAACTACACCATCGTAAAATAGATAAATGTTTACTTTCATATGCCTATTATGAAATATATAGTAAAGGAAAGTATTGCGATCGTGCAAATGTTTTCAACGGAGTTGCACATTTTGAATTCCTCTGAGTCCAAATAACCAAGTCCCGCAAAATGGTCTCTGTGTGTGTTTTATCATTCCTACGATGTTACAGCAACTTTTTCGTCAAAATCAGCTAACCGTTAGTGGCACTATATATCAATTTAACTCATTTTTACGATTTTCTCGAAAACGCCTTTAACGATTTTGATTTAATTCATTATATCAGTATAAAATTGAGCAGTTTTAAATAAAATGTGGTTATTATTCTGATTGATGTTCTCTAACAGGGCTTAAATGGCTAATTTGTAAGCTTTTCCTAAAGTACAGTTAATTTTTTGAAACAATTAAACATTTTACATTGATCTCTCTGATATGAAATATAGTTAAAAATCTTAATATAATACTAACTCCGACAATATTATGAACATATACAAATGCGGTTTTCATAAATGCTATCGCTGGTATTATTAAATATTTAATTATATAGATTACAGCGATATAAAAATATCCACAATTAAATATAAATAAGTATAGCATCTATAATTTTTACTTTCATTTTCCCTTTTTCTGAAAAAACTTATTTCTGACAAGATAGGGTAGTAACTGAAAGTTGTGTGATGCGCGCACAGTACCAGATTATTTATTATTTACTTTCTTAAGGTGGGCTTTGACGTTTCACAAACTACGGGACAGTTATCCAACTTGAATAATAGCGACATAATTGTTAAAGTATTTTTTTTATTACTGTTTATTCCGACAGCAGATGGAAAATATCAAAAATAGGAAAGAAAAATACAAGTATAGTGAAATAACCATTTGTATATTTATTTGCCACATAGTTTGTGAAACGTCCAAATCCGCTTTTATATGTTAACGTTTCGACCCAGGTTTTATACCTTCTTAAGTCCTGAAGGAAGACAAAACAACTAGAGTTAACATATTAGCAATATATATATATATATATATATATATATATATATATATATATATTATATATATATATATATATATCAAGTATAAATGTATATATTCTAGACAAAATTTCCAACAACAATGTTCATTTGAAGCAAGGGCCATATCGAACGGAAAAGGAGTTTAGACCAATTTTATGTTTTTCTTAAGGTGGTCACGTTTTTTATATTGAATAAGAAGGAATTGTTCATATACTGTTCTAGTTAATTAAATTCTAAGTAATCCAGCGTTAAGTAAACAAAATGTTCTTTGGGAAAACAGTGATTAAATTTACTAAGGTCCAATATCGGATCCAAGGTTTAATTTTGAAGAGGCTTCAGCCCGAAAGCTTTATATATATATATATATATATATATATATATAATATGATAATTACTTGGGAAGAAAAAGAAAGAAACTACCTATATAAAATGGTGTTTAATTGATTATTGAGGTCCAATTAAATATAATTAGACGAACAATAATACTTTTAAAAAAAATTTTTTTTCATAAAACATGGTTATATTTTACCATTTTGGGGGGGGGGGATGTTTAACTCGAAAGCCCTCTCCTCCTGTAGATTTGGCGGTGCTAAAGTAAATAATATTAGGTACTTGAAGGAAGTCTATTAACTCAAATCCTCCACTATTTCACGGTCAAAAACATTTTGTCTACTTTACGATGGTGTACTTAGAATTTAATTATCTTGAACAGTTTTTGAGCAATTATTTCTTATTCAATAAAAACTATATATAAAATTATTGTAAATATAGAAAGTGTTTTTGTTTTTATACCTTTGAGCGATACTCTAGACACCCAGAGGCTTGATCATAAGAAATATACAAATGATACTGAAAAGGATATTGGAATTGAAGAAATGAATATGTCCTTAATTCGAAGGTATTCGAAAAGAGACACTTGATAAACGAATATCCTTATTGCTGGATGTTCACCAATCTAATTACCTATAACCATGTTTGCAACTTTCAATATGGCTGTCTGTTTATTCTTCCATAATATCAGTCTAGTGTTTGTCTCGGTTCAGTGCACGTCTCTCCAGATATGTTAATATTTGTGATAAAACATATACTAAGAGGTACAATTACCTTATTTTCGGTATATTTAATTAATTTATTGCTTCATCCCGCCTTGATATATAAACGCTGTAATATACGGGCAAGTTCCTAAATACATTGATGTTCATCGGAAATCCACCAAGCCATTTCTAAACACATCGTTGGATCCATAAATTAATCTGAAAGTCCTCTATTCATCGATTGAATCACAGATGGTTTCATCAACTTTTGTCGTTGATGGGTCCCATCGCTGTAACCTCATTATAACCTCACTATCATTTTTCAATTCCATTTACATTTTTATGTACAATTTAATTTCAAACAGTATTTATATATGGTTTTAAATTCAACTATTCAATAGGGTAAATATTCTCTTTTATACAATTTACTTTTTATGTAGTTTTTTTTTTAACCAGAATAGATGAATTCCTTCGATGGAATGATTTTAAAAACTTGCCCTATTATTCGAATACCCTCTTGTCAAAAGTTCATAGTGTAAATTTAATAACGGATCTCTCTATTTAATATATTGTATTAAAAAAAATTCCTATTTTTCTATAATTTGGCTATCGTTTAAATTGTAGTAAATCTAGAATCAAAATAATACAATTTTATCTAGAACTTCTCGGTATACTGTTATTAAATATTTTTATAATATTTATGTAATCATAATTTAATTAATATTAACAGATAATTATAAAAATATAATTTTATCAAGTAAAATAATAATAAAATGCTCTACTTTAACATTCAAAAAGTATTATAATAGAAAATGGCATATTTAAATAGTTTTTCAAACAAGAAATAATTTGGTATAAACTGTTTTTTTTACTAATTTGCTATGGTAGTTTTATAGATAAATAATAAGTTTTACATAAATTAGTCAATGTTAACAAAATTGCAGTTGCTTTAATTTAAGTGTAAATCAAAAACATTTATAATAAGAAATTATAACTTATTAGTATTATTATGCAATGACATTTTAAAACAAAAATCCGTGTAAAGAAAACAAAGAAGATATTTATCAAACCTATGTCCTATATGCAAATATAAATATATAATTTAAATTTCGAGACACAGCTGGGTGCTTGTTGAATAAAAACTAAAAATAATTTTTTTAGAAAATCATAAAACTGTCAAACGGCGGTTTCTAGCGACTAAGGAAAGTCATCTCCAGTGGCTGCCGATCGCTACACATCTAATCATTAACAGGAAAGTGGTTGCAGGAAAAATCTGCCAGGGCAGGCACTTCAAGTGCAAGGCTTGGTAATGGACGGATCTCAAGATGGTCCAGGCGCTGTAAGGAATGCTGAGGTGTGTGGACTACTCCAGAATACTCAGGCAGGAAAAATGGAAGTCTCCAATAAGGCTGTAAACTGGGAAGTTAAACAACCTGGCCCTACCTATGCCAAAGTGGCGTCATACCAACAGAGCTCTCACCGTGAGTATGCTATTATTGTTCCTACTGTTAACGGTGTGAAGCAGAAACAGTATATCGAAGCACTCGCTGAGATAATGGAACCCAGTCACATTAGGTATGCCTCTAGAATTTCTGGAAATAGATTTTGCTTTCATTTGAGTAGTAAGGATCAAGTTGATATGCTTCTAATGAAGCATTCCTGTATGACGATAGGAGATCATAAGCTGCCAATTAAGCGGCTGGTTGATCCAGGAAAGCGAATCATTATTTCCGGTGCTTGCCCCAGTATACCTCAAACAATTTTGGAAGAAGAAATTCAGAAGCTAGGGATTAGGCTGCTATCTCCAATAACTTTCTTACGCTTCGGTTATAAAGAAAAAAACCTGAGCCATGTACTAACGTTCCGACGACAAGTATTTATAGCGGCGGATGATATAACCAAGTTAAGTAGCACGATTTCCTTTTATTATCAGGGAATCAATTACAGGATTTTTCTTGCCGAAGATATTATTGTATGTTACGTCTGCAAGAAACCAGGGCATTTTGCAGCAAAATGTTCAGAAATAGAATTGGTGGAGGGATATAGTCCGGTAAATACTGAGCACACGCTCCAATCAACTGGGATTGAGCCATGCTCAAGCACAGTTGATTTAGAGAGTAGTTCGGAGAAAGCAGCCAGGATTGAAGCTGTAGTCATTGAGTCTAATAGATTAGGCGACTTTGAATATAGGCAGGTAACAATTAATGACAATTCACCTATCAATAAATATACGGACGAGGAAACATCTTCCAATAAATCTACTGACGGGAAAAAACCTATTAATAAATATACTGACGAGAAAACACCTATTAATAAATATACTGACGAGAAAACAACTACTAATAAATGTACTGACAAGGAAACAACTATTAACAAATACAATGACAAGGAAACATTGTTAGGTACATCTGACACTAAGAAATATACGCAGGATGATGACCAGAACCAGAAACGAAATAACATCACTATAACAACCCTATGTAAGGACAAACCATACGTATTACAGAATCACGGGATCAACAAGAATCAACAA